GGGGAGGGAAAGTTGAAGGACCCAAATTCTCCTGCAACACTGAGGAGAAGAGAGGGAAGGGGTGGGGGAGTGGTAAAACTCAGAAAGGCAAAGCAATGCTAGCCAAATGTGGGGGTGGGAGAGCACAGGAACATTCGAGGAACTCTGAATTTTCCTGGAACCTAAGGGAGGCCCAGGGCTGTGGGCTGCAAACTTGGTGGGAAATGAGAGTCATTCATCTGAGTGGACTGAAAACTGGGCTCTGTGGCTCACGCCGGTCATCCTAACTACTCAGGAGGCTGAGATCTGAGGATCACAGTTCAAAGCCAGCCTGGGCAGTTAAGTCCATGAGACTCTTCTCTCCAATGAACCTCCAGAAAACCAGAAGTGGCGCTGTGGCTCAAGTGGTAGAGCGCTCGCCTTGAGCTGAAGAGCTGAGAGACAGCCCCCAGGCCCCGAGTTCAAGCCCCATGACTGACAAAAAAAAAAAAAAAAGGGGAGGGGGGACAGGGCTGGGAAGGTGGCTCAGTGGTAGAGTGCTGGCCTAGTATACATAAAGCCCTAGGTTCGATTCCTCAGTACCACATACACAGAAAAAGCCAGAAGTGGTGCTGTGGCTCAAGGGGTGGAGCGCTAGCCTTGAGCAAAAGAAGCTCAGGGACAGTGCCCAGGCCCTGAGTTCAAGCCCCAGGACTGGCCTTAAAAAAAAAAAATGGGGACAATTCAAGTTGGTATGCAGTGAACTAAACATCTATGATTCAATGCAAAAAAAATGTCAAGGTTCTTAGCTGAATCAGTAATAAGTAAAATAAACACATGAAACATTTCTTTTTCACTGGCTCTCTTTGACACATAGGAGGGTGTGGCTGCGATCTGTGGATTTCTTTGCAGTCTGTCCAGATCAAGGTTCAAAGGAAGAGAGAAAACTCCCTCAAAAGCAAAACAAGGCTAGGTGGAGAGGGGTGGACCGACACTCACTCCTGTGATCCTAGCTACTCAGGAGGCTGAGATCTGAGGATCCTGGTTCAAAGCCAGCTTGGGTAGGAAAGTCTGTGAGCCTCTGATCTCCCCCATAACCTAAAAGCCAAGAGTGGAGCTGTGGCTCAAGCGGTAGAGTGCCAACTTTGAGCAAAAGAATTCAGGGGCAGCATCCAGGCCCTGGGTTCAAGACCTAGGGAGGGGCATTTAAAAAACAAAAAAGAAAAGAGAGGGGTTGGGAAGGTGGCTCAGTGGTGGAGTGCTTGCCTAGCATGCATGAAGCCCTGGGTTCAATTCCTCAGTACCACAGACACAGACAAAGCCAGAAGTGGTGTGCTGTGGCTCAAGCCTTCAGCCAAAGAAGCTCAGGATCAGCGCCCAGGCCCTGAGTTCAAGCCCCAGGACTGGCAAAAAAAAAAAAAAAAAGACCAAAACAAAAGCACTCAGTGACTTGACCTTCTAGAAGAATTGACATTGGAAAGTAAGGGATACAAATGCAGAAGTGGCCCGAGGTGCAGACCCAGTTCCCCCCACCACACCCCCCTCCAGCGCAGGGGCAGAACAGAAACCGCAGAATGTTCCAGAGACAGCGCCCCAGCTCCCCGGGTGGCGCAATGTTTATGTTTGTGTATCTAGCATGGAGGGGAGGAGGGGGTGTCGTCGCCTAGGGCTTCTTGGGGTTCCAGCCTGGGGTCTTTCCCGGCAGGGGGTGGTGGGGATGGGGTGTCCGCCCCGTCGGGGCTGGAGCCCCCCCCCAGCCCAAGGGCATAGAAGTTGCTCAGTGGAATAAAGACCTCTTGCAGGCGGGTCCCCCCAGAAGCTGAACCCCCAAACCCACACCCGATCTTGCGCCCCCTCCCCTCCCGATAGCACTGGCTGGGGTTGGGGTGGGAATTCTTTTCCTGGACGGGCCTCGGTTTCCCCGACTGCAGGAAAGGAGAAGCGCCCAGAGGGCCGCGGGCCCCGGTCCGCCCAGCCTCGGCCGCGGGGGGCGCTCGGGATGGGGTCCCGGGGGTGGGGGGGGAGATGGTGGTGCGCTCGGCCTGGACACCGCGCTGTCCTCCGC